TGTGTTACTGCAGAGAGTCTCCTCTTCAGGGTCTTTTTGTGTGGGTTGGAGGGGGGCAGAAATTCCAACTTGGGGTCTGTTTCAACCTCCTGGTGCGGGGCTTTGGGCGAAGGCTGGAGGGAAGCACCGCTGGTGGCGAAGAGCCGGAGGGCCTTGTTCCAGGACTGTATCATGGCTTGGAACTGGTTGACCATCTCAGCCCGCTGAGCCTCCAGGCGCCAGTACTTGGCCTTGCACTCCCGCAGGTCTTCCCTCTGCTTGAAAAGCCTATGCTTGTAGTCCTCAGTGAGGTGCTTCTGCTGAGCCTCCTTCTTGGTCAGATCCAATTTGAATTGAGCCAGCTGTTTTGCTAACTCTTTCTCATGGCGGCTGCTTAGTTCCAACAACTGCTTCCTGTTGGAGTTCTAAGGAGCCCAGGCAGACAGGCAAGGAGAGGCTGGGAGGGGAGGGAGAGGCAAGTAGAGGTTGGCAAGGCGCCCCTTGACATGAGTGACATCAAGTTGGCCATACCCCCTCCTGCAGTCACATGCCTACCTATTCACGTCCACCCGGCCGGTCCTTAAGCAGATCATATTAGTGGTCCATGGGATTTAAAATTATGAATTTAGTGATCCCTGAAGTCCAAAAGGTTGGTGACCCCTGGCCTAGTTGTTTCATAGTCGTATCACAACCTAGAAGGTGGATTCAGTACTGGTTAGCATTCTCTCTCACACAATTATTGTTCACTGGAGTTATTCAATAGAATTATATTCCATCATCAAGAAGACTTACATTTATTTATATGGCATATTTATATGGCCACCCATTTCATATATATGGTGGCTAACTATTAAAAACTGGATAAAAACAGGATAAAGCTACCCACATTTTAAAAAGACAATACCCATACATAGAATAATTGCAAAGAACATTCAACATCTCACATTCAAATTGACCCAAAAAATAGGCTCAGCCATTTTGAGCCAGGGTCAATGCCAAAATCCACATTTTTAATGTCTTATAAAAGACCATCAGGAGTAGGACAAGTCTAACCTTAAAGGAAATGATATTCCAGAGGGCAGGCACCACAGAAGAACAGTTCTGTTCTTAGGTCCCACCAGCTGGAAATCTCTAGCAGATGGAAACAAGAGCAATTTTTCCATCAGAATCTCAAAGCAACATACTTAGAACGTCTGTACAGATCTTCAGATTTGAAAGGAAGCAGGTTTAAAGAGTGCAAGAATCCAAATGGAGCATCTAAGTGCATGCTGAGCTCCTCAAATCAGCTGGGCCTTTTCCAGGATCAGGCATCTGCTCGCCAAGCTGCCATTTCTAAATCTCCTTTTCAAAGATTTTTTTTTTAAAAAAAAAAACAATTTAAAAAAATTCTAAATGAAATTTAAGAAGTTGCAGATAGGCTGACTACTTATTTCCATATGCTCTGAAGCGCCTTTTTGTCTTCAAAACCAAAATGCCACCCAGCTCTAATGCATGTTTTCCATCCTCTATAGAGAGATAGGGATGGACCATGTTGCCAAATGAATTTCCTTAGCTAAAGATAATGTGTTTGCCTGGTTCAAATCCAGTATCTTTATAACAATATTTGGTAGCTATATAATAGGATAGTTCATGGAGCCTTGATTAGCCCTTGGCCAATTTTCAGCTGACATTTCTGATAAAATTTTGATTCTAGAAAGAGCAACCAAGGATTAAAAGAACCGGAAAACAGAATCCTGCAGAGCATTGTAGCCAATCAGGTTACAACAATCTGTACTGAGCTCTCCATGGTCCTGATAGTGTTTAATTCTATGAAGGTTTAAACCAATATTTTCTATTTGCAACGGCGGCCACAGACCTTTTGGGTACCAGGGATCGGTTCCATGAAGAGAGATTTTCTATGGACCAGAGGGAGCATGGTTTTGTGTGCTGCCTGCATCCTGCGAATGGGGCTTCACTTTTTTGTGTGGACTGGTTTCTGGTATGCCGTGAACTGGTGCCGATTCACAGACCGGAGGTTGGGGAACCCTGATTTACAGGTAGCCCTCAACCTATTACCACAAAGAATTTCCATTGCTAAGCAAGTCAGCCAGGCCTAATTTTACAAACTTTTTTACCATTTGTTATGTGAATCATGCAGTCATTAAGCAAATCCGGCCTTGTCGGAAATCAGCTGGCAAGGTTGCAAATAGCAGTCATGTGATCCTGGGAGACTTAAGCCATTGTAAATACATCTCATTTGGTTGTGAATGTTGTAAGTTGAGGACTATGTTTTTGTATATATTTAGCCTTTGCTAGGTTCGTTGAGAGCCTTAGTAAGTTGTAACTCTGCAAGAAGCCTTACCTTTCCACCATACTTTCTGCAGCTGAGCTATAGAATTTGCTTAATGACTTCCGTAATAAGCACAGGACTTTGGTTATCAGTTTGCATAACTAGAGACATCTGCAGTGTGTGTGCCTGTCTAAGAGCTGTTGTGGCGCAGTGGTCAGAATGCAGTATTGCAGGCTATTTCTGCCAACTGCCAGCAGTTTGATTCTCACAGGCTCAAGGTTGACTCAGCCTTCCACCTTTACAAGATTGATAAAATGTGGACCCAGATTGTTGGGGGAAATATGATGACTCTGTAAACCACTTAGTGAGGTTATATAAGTTTAAGTGCCATGTGTTTCTGTTTATCAAAAATTGCCAAATGTCATGTTGCAAACCTAACCCATTTAGAGGGTTTGTATTTAATTTCTGACTGTGGCAAATTTAGTATATCTAAATTTATGATAGCAGTGTGCAGCAGCAGCCAAAAAATCCAATGCAATCCTATAATGGACTAAAGTGCTGTTAAAGTAGCACTTAGCTGCCTGCAATTACTGCGAGTTCGAATCTCACCAGGCTCAAGGTTGACTCAGCCTTCCATCCTTCCGAGGTAGGTAAAATGAGGACCCAGATTGTGGGGACAATAAACTGACTTTGTATAAAAAAGAACACCGCGTATGGGGGTGCCAAAAGGCCTATTAAGCAGGTATATACAAAAGTATGAAGGCTATTGCTTAACACATTGTAAGCCACCCTGAGTCTCCGGAGAAGGGCAGCATATAAATCGAACCAATAAATAAATAAATAAATAAAATGCATTAACAGAGGGATACAATCAAGTTCAAGAGAGGTTTTAATAGCACTCTATAAAGCCTTAGTAAGAACACACCTAGAATACTGCATCCAGTTTTGGTCACCACACTATAAAAAAGATGTTGAGACTCTAGAAAAAGTGTAGAGAAGAGCAACCAAGATGATTAAGGGACTGGAGACTAAAACATATGAAGAACGGTTACAGGAACTGGGCATGGCTAGTCTAGTGAAGAGAAGGACCAGGGGAGACATGATAGCAGTGTTCCAATATTTGAGGGGCTGCCACAGAGAGGAGGGGATCAAGCTATTTTCCTGAAGGCCAGACAAGGAATAATGGATGGAAACTGATCAAAAAGAGATTCAACCTAGAAATAAGGAGAAATTTTCTGACAGTGAGAACAATCAACCAATCTTGCCTTCAGCTTGCCTTCAGAAGTTGTGGGAGCTTCATCACTGGAGACTTTCCAGAAGAGATTGGACTTCCATTTGTCAGAAATGGTGTAGGGTCTCCTGCTTGGGTGGGGGGTTGGACTAGATGACCTACAAAGTCCCTTCCAACTCTGTTAATCTGTAGGATATCTGGACTTCAGAATTACTTGGCTGGTATGCTAATAAACTATGCCTACATCTTACAAGTATTTCAGTAAAGAAATATAAGAAGCTGGTTTTCTAATTGGATCAGGAGCAGCATTTTGTATATACACACAAAACCTGCAGACATTTTAATGCCTTTCATCTCCAACCTTAATCCAAGGAAGGAATGTAGAAATAAATAAAGGAACAAAGGAAATCAGGCATCTTGGTTTTTGGGTGGGAGAGCATCCTGGAAGAGTTTGTATAAGTGAAAACAGAAATTAAGGCTACATGGAAATTAATTTCCATGACTGGAAAATACATCGTTTATAGATAAACAAAATGTATTTTGAACTCACTGCAAGTATGAATTGAATCAATCAGTTAAATGGATGGTCTGCTGAACGGTTGTAGCTGCCTCTAACTTTTATGACACACACCCACGCATACCTGCATTCAAGGAAGATTCTTACTTATCAGAAAAACTGGAAAGGAAGACTGGGATGGAGAAAGTGAAATGACTAGCAGCAAAAATTGATCTAGATGAAGTTACACTGCTGAAGTTTTGCTTTGTTCCTGGAAGACATCTGAAGGGCACAGTCAGAAGTCTGTACTGAAGACAAAGACAGAAAGGATATGTCATGAGAGTTTTTCTCTTTAACCCAGATAAGTAAAATTAGGCAGGATGAATCCCTCTTCCCTCTCATGATGCATGATAAAAAGGGACAGAACTCACATTGGCCCATTTGTACCCACCACTTGAAGCTTGAATCTATTTTTGTAAATGCCTTTTCTCTAAGGGACTGAAGATGACTGAAGACAGCCAAGAGACTGAACACCTGTGCCAGGATGCCAACCAGTATATATGTAGTCCTTTTTTGCCCCTAAAGAAGAATAAAATTAGGGTAATTAAAACTAACCACGTGTGCATACATGTTAGATTAACACCACACTTTGCAAACACGTGCATTCACCAAAAACCAAAAAGTCACTGCGATGCTATCTCAAAATTAAATGAATTTCCAAACTGCCAATCTTTAAAGAAATCTTTCTTTAATTGAGCACAGCCACCGGATCATGACTCCGCGCGGACAAGACTGACCTTTTGCCTCCCAATCCCTCCCTTTCTGATCCCCAAATCTCTGCTTCTCATTGGCTGTCTTCCAAGTCATTTTTCAGACTCCTTTTCTCATCATTTCCCAGGAATGTGCCCCCTCCCCTCATTTCCACGACAACCCGATTTCAAAGGGATTTAGCAGGCAAAAGTTTCAGAGTTTATCTCTCGGTCTCCTCTGCTCTCTATGCCAGCGTTGAAACACTGACACCTAGGCTGTAATCTTGAATGCAGAAGGAAAAAAAAAAATATCTGCAAGGCAGTTTCAAAAGCCAGCTGGCCTTTTTTATCAAGCAACAGGGAGAATGAGGTGGGCAAGCCTTGAAATGCAATTAGTTGGTTGTAATTGTTGTTTGTTTTACTGCGCTTCCTAATAAATGAAAAAACAAAAAAACCCAGAAAAATTGTTGTTGTGCTGTGTCTTTCACCAAATTCTAAATTCTGTTTTTGTGCCTTATATTAGCTGATTACTACAACTGGTTTTTCACATCACACTAAGCCGAAATGTTTATTTTCATGTAAACCCAGACATTGTGATTTCAAAACTATATGTTCAATAAATTGCAGATCATGATTTTGCAAGTAGTGAAAAACCAGCCAGTGAGTTGGTTTCTCATCTAGCTTCCTTCTATCATAAGAAGGAATTGCTTATTTTACAACAGAATTAAGGAGCCACTTTTCTGTCAAAATCCAATATTATCTTAATTGATACCTGTCAGCAATGTAATTTGAATCCAAAGTGGATGAGCCCAGAATGAGCAGAATGAAGGACTGGACTTTTTCCTGTATTCACTATAAATCCAAACTGCATCTGTTGACTATCATATTATGTTCATCTGGATTTCTGCACCCAAATATGGTAACTGTGATAGAGTAAATCAGTGATGGTAGCATCTTCTCTGAACTGAAGAGGTTTTCCTCCTGTTGCAATATTTTCAGGATCAGACTCAATAAGATCAACAAGAGTTAAAGATTTAACTATATATTCTTTTATTTACATTAGGCATTCTATATTCACTGAATATTCACAGATAGAAGCAGGGGAAATGGTGTAGGTAGCTCCTTATATATACAATGGGTGGAGCTATATGTGGGAGTGGTGAATTATGAATACATTAAGAAGTGAAGAATAAATTAACCCCTGATACCCTGTCTGTACACTATTTACACATTGGAGAATAAGGCATTTATATCTGACAAATCCCCCTCTAAATGCCGATTCGTTATACAACACCAGTTACATTCAGATTCAGGACAATACAAAACATACAACTTAGAGGTTAAGTATCTATGTTGTTTAGAAGGTAAAGGCTTCGTTAATATATCAGCTAATTGTTCTGAAGTGTCACAATGCACTGCTTTAATAAATCCATCCTGAGATAATTGTCTCACATGTTTAAATTTTATATCTATATGTCTGGACCTTTGTCCAATGGCATCAGATCTAGATATTTCAATGGCTGCTTTATTGTCTTCATGCATAACAAAAGGCAGAGCAGGTTTTTTCCAGACATCTGAAATTAAATCATTAAACCATACAAGATTATTTGCGGCCTTGGATAAACAAACATATTCCGCTTCTGTTGTTGAAGTAGCCACTAGTTCTTGTTTACCAGTGTACCAGTAGACTGGACAGTCATTTAAGAGAAATACATAACCAGATGTGCTTTTTCTGCATGAGGTGTCTCCAGCCCAATCTGCATCTGCATAACACGTAAGCTTTGGTTCTTTAATATCATTAGGTTCTAACATTAAACAAAAGTCTAGTGTACCTTTTAAATATCTTAAAATTCTTTTAACAGCTTCCCAGTGGTACATTGTTGGTTTGCTGACATGCCTAGATAATAAATTGAGTGGTAAAGTGATGTCCGGTCTAGTCCAATTAGATATGTAAAGGAGTGAACCTATGATTGATCTATAGAATGTATTATCCTTGAACTCGGGAGAAGATTCATCAGAATTCCTTAGAAAGTCAGTTTGCATAGGGGTATCACAAGGTTTGGCATTGTTTAAGTTGCATTTATTTAAAAGATCTATGATCTTATCTCTCTGGGTAAGTTTGAATCCCCCTTTTGTCTTATTAATTTGGACACCAAGGTATTTGTTTACCTTGCCTAAAGATTTCAATGAGAAATGTTCATTTAGTTTAGTTACAAAAGTTTCTCTTCTTTCCTTATGTTTTCCTATGTATAAAATGTCATCCACATAAATCAATACAAATTCAATGTAATCATCACCCCTCTTGACAAAGAAACAATTATCAGCAGTGGTAGCGTTGAAGTCCATGGTCTTAAGTACTTTTACTAAACAATCATACCACCGTTTACCAGATTGTTTTAGCCCGTATAAACTCTTGTTTAACAACCAAGTCTCATTTTTGTTTGTGTATGGACTATGAGGTGCTCTCACGTATATTTCTTTATCTAATTTTGCGTGTAGGTACGCAGTCTGTATGTCATATTGGAATACATCTAGATTGAGTGCTGAAGCTACCACTAGAGCTGTTTTGACACTCTCTGTTCTTACAGTGGGGGAATACGTGTCAGTATAGTCCTCTGGATATTTCTGTGCATAACCTTGTGCAACCAATCTAGCTTTGTATAGAGTATTTCCTCCCTCTAAATTCTTAATTTTATATATCCATCTGGTACCAATAATTGTCTTATCTTTAGGTGCAGATGCAGGTGTAAATACATTTAGTCCTTGTAAACTTTCCATCTCTTTCTTCATTGCTAATTCCCATTTTTCTTTTTCTTCGTGAGGAAGTTTTAACACTTCCTCGTATGTATTGGGTGTTGTTGGTTCACCATTCATGTGCATTACATAATCCTTGTATTTATTTGGCATTTGATTTCTGGTGTTTCTAATGATTTTCTCTGGTTTACTATCGTTATCATGCAAATATCTTGCTTCCTTTTTTGTTAGTGTATCTGTCTTTATTTTGAGTTGGCTATTTGTCCAAGTTTTGGTTTTGTTTTTATATTTGTTGGTATTTTGTTTTTCTATAGTCACTTTCTCATGAGATTTTGTATCTTCATGTTTATTTGGGAATATCTCATTAAGATGTAATTTAGACCAGTTAGCTTGTTCATGGAACACAGCTGTTCTGGAGACTATAAATTTGTTGTTACTATCAATGAATCTGTATCCTTTAGTGCCAGTCTCATATCCCATAAATCTGAGTCTCCTGGACACATTTTCTCCCTTTCTTCTTAATTGTTTAGGTATGTGTACGTCTGCTGTGACTCCAAATATATGCATGTGTGCTAATTTTGGTTTTCTATTATACATCACTTCATATGGTGTCTTATTTATAATGCTGGACCATGTTCTATTTTGTGTGTAATTTGAATAATGTAAGGCTTCTGACCAGAACTGTTTGCTTAAGCCAGCATCTTCCAATGTGCATCTAATCATGGTTTGTAATGTGGAATTTTTTCTCTCTGCAATCCCGTTTTGGAACGGAGAAAATGGACTAGATGTGTAATGTAACATTCCTTTGTCTTTTAACCATTGTGAGAATTCTTTAGACATGAATTCGCATCCTCTGTCTGTCATAATTTGTTTTATTTTGATGTTGTGTTGTGTTTCTATGCGTTTGTAAAATTCTTTAAATTTTTGAAATGTTTCATCTTTGTGTTTTAGTGTGTAAACAAATCCATAGCGGCTATAATCGTCCACTATTGTCAGGAAGTAACGTTTCCTATAAGTGATTGATGGAGTTAATGGACCAACTAAGTCCATGTGTACTAAATCAAAAATTTTGTTAGTTGATCTGGTAGATTTTCTTGGCCTGGGACTAGTTTTTAGTTTTGTAGATTTACATACTGAGCATTCCAGATAATTTTCACAATTCTTTATTTTAACACCTTCTGCGTGTTCAGTCATTTTTTGCACTACAGGAAAACTGGCATGTCCTAACTTCCTATGCAATATGTGAGCACACTCATCATGAATTGGTTTACCTATCTTTGGTTTCTTATCGTTGTGTGCATCTGTGTGATCATGAGATATTTTACATTCATCATTGTCACTGTTGCTAACATTCTCATCATCTATTTCAATACAATCTTCCATATTTGAATCAATGTTATGTAACCATTTTTCTTTTGTTATTAGGTAAGGTAGTCCTCCTTTAGTCACCACAGTGCCTACATTTATTTTATTCTTTTCCAAAGTTGCCTTTCCTTTTGAAAAAACAATGTTAATGTCAGAATCTCTGCTTAGTTTTATGGCACTTAATATGTTATGAGGTATTTCAGGTATTAGTAATACCCCCTCTATTTTTCCTAAACCAGGCAAGGTTACATTTCCTCTACCTAATACTTGAACCTTTTCTTGGTTAGCAACCTTAATTACAAATTTATCTTCTGCAAATGAAGACAATATACTTTTGTTATTAGTGGTGTGATTAGTTGCTCCAGAATCAATAAGCCAATTATTGTTCTCACTTTGTTGTGTGTTAGTGTTGTCTTGTTTATTTAATCCATTCAGTGAACCAGACTTTCTATCCTTTGAATTGTCTCTGCCCCCTCTATTCTCTCCGTGATTTGGTGGGCTCCTATATCTATGCCTTTCTATGGAAGGCTGTCTATAATCGTGTTTGTTTCTGTATTCTGATCTATATCTTTCTTTTAAGACTTTTGGGCAATCTCTTCTATTGTGTTCCCTGGATCCACAATTATGACATTTAAATGTTCCACTATATTTTTCTTGAAAAGCTACTTTCCTATATGGTTTATGTTCTGTGTGATTGTTAGAACGATTCCTTCTAGAATTATCTTCTGTTATCAATTTGTTAGATAGACTTTCTATGGATAAATACCCTAGATTGATTGTGTCTAAATGTGACATGAAATTGTCCCATGATGGGTCAAGTGAGTTGATAATGACACTTTTCATTGTTTGGTCTGAAATCACTTCCCCCCTTAAATGCAGTTCAGCTCTTATTTTGTTCAAAGATATTAAATGTTCACTTATGGAAACCCCTGGTTTTATCCTAGATGAAAAGAAGTCTTTAGATATCCTTGTGGTGGTGGCTACACTGTCACTGTGAAACAAATTAAACATGCATTGAATAATTTCTGAAACAGTCAAATTTGGCTTAATGCTGTGATACATTGCAGGAGACACACTAGATATTATTAAGAAAAAAGCTCTATGGTGTAAGCAATCTATTTTTAGTGTCCAAGGTCTTTTTGGGGGACTAGTGATAAAAAACATTAAGTTTTCCTTCATAAAGACAACCTGGAGCTGTTGATACCATTCTTGTAAATTAATGCCATCAACCCTTAGTTTTGGGAAGTCACTGGGTAAATTTCCGACATTATTGGGTCCATTACTTACAACCTGAGGTAGTCCGTGGTCTCGTAAATGCAGAAAATTGCAAAACGGCATGGGGATGCTCGCTACGAGTCTGCATGATCTTCTCTCCTGTTCATGTCTTCCCGGATCGTCAGCGTAGTTTCGCGCATGCGCGTTGTCCATTTCTTCTTCGGCGTCGTCGTGGAAGGTTCTCCTCATTGCGGCCCGCTCGTTCTGCTCCTCTTCAGATGAGTCGGTCTCTGGTTCGACTTTGGGCGTTCTGGCGACGGTGGCTGTTCTTCTTCTTCTATTGAAAGCGTTGGTGCTTGCTTCGGTCTGCGGCGTAGGGCGGTATCGGCAGGGCTCTCTGGGTTCCGGCGTCAGCGCTCTAGTAGTCAGGATGGGAGCGGGCAGGTCTTGAGGCATTGGCTTGCTCGTTCGCTTTTTTAGTGTCTTTTTAGTAATTTTCAGTTTTGGCCCAAATGCAGCAAAGAGCGTTTTCATCGCTGATTTTATTTGGTGTTTTGTTGGATCTTCCTCGCTTTCTGGTTCTGATTCTTCTGAGGTGTTTGAATCTTCCTTTTCGTTTTCGTTGTCCGGTAATATTTTTCGCGCCAGAAATTTTGAATCGAGATTGCTGATTGGCTCTTCTTCGTTCATCTTGGAGGCCGGTTGAAACCAAGATGGCTGCCATTCAAATTTTTGCGCGGGATCATCGTTTTTCTTCTTTGTAATGATTTTCTCCGCAGTCATATTACTCACTATTTTTGGCTCTTTGGGTTTTTCATTGGTGATGTTTTTCTCTCTCGCTGCTCCGCTGTTCTTTAGCATATCTTGGAGGTTCGCGATGAGGCTTTCATCATTCTTCTGGCTTTTTAATAGTTTTAATATCTCTGACCTGAGTTCGTTATTTTCTATTTCGATTTCCTCCTGGTCATCAATTATTTCTTCGTCTTCAGTGGTGTATTCTTCGGATTCTCTCGAAATTGCATTCGTGGGTTCGTTGATTATTTCTTGTTCCGTTCCCATTTCTTTGCTGTAGGCCCTGGTGTTGGGCCTATCTTTCTTAGACATTTTAAGGCTTTTTATTGAGTCAATTAACCATCCTCTGCTACCAGTTTGTTGCAATATTTTCAGGATCAGACTCAATAAGATCAACAAGAGTTAAAGATTTAACTATATATTCTTTTATTTACATTAGGCATTCTATATTCACTGAATATTCACAGATAGAAGCAGGGGAAATGGTGTAGGTAGCTCCTTATATATACAATGGGTGGAGCTATATGTGGGAGTGGTGAATTATGAATACATTAAGAAGTGAAGAATAAATTAACCCCTGATACCCTGTCTGTACACTATTTACACATTGGAGAATAAGGCATTTATATCTGACACCTCCATCAACTTCCTAGTAGCCAGACAGGGCAATCGAATGCATGATAATAACCCGGATTAAGTCCAAAGAAGGTACATCATCAGGAAAAAATGACACTGGTTCACAAAATACTCCAGAAACATGGATTGAGAAAGGAGAAAGGCTTCATTTGACTGGTGGGCCAAAAATCCTAGCCTTTTACAGCAACAACTCTGCTTATTGAACTTATTTGCCCATTGTTACCCAGTGGTAGTAATTGTTTTAGGAGCAAAGGTTTCAACATAAAGTGTTAGCCTATGAAAGATCAGAGAGTTTCCACTTATCATTTCCCTGGCCGCTCATCATTTTCCCTACTAAAGCATTATGAATCTCCCTTTGTCCTATAACCCTATCTATGCAATTAACAGACATAATTAATGCAATAAATTGGGCAACCTATCTTTCATATATTAAAAGGTAGAGAGTTGTGTGCAGCTGTTTCTCATTTGCTTAGAGTCAATAAAACTGACTTTTACCAAGTTGATATTATGCCTTCTTAGTTAAATGCATCCTTATTTAGCAGATCAAATCAATAGATGTCTGTAACTGATTAATGTCATTGCTGCATTTGGAGTCTTCCCCTTTGAGACATTTTTAATGACAACCGACTGCATAATAAAACATCTTGTTTTATTAAGGATAAAATTGAAAGCCAGTTCCATTTGTTCACAGATGCTGTTCGATCTATATCCATAAGGGTTTTTTGTGTGTGTGTCTTGCTCTTTGGTTACTGAATAGCAGCATGGATCTATGCTTAATTTGCTGGAATTGAAACACACATTATTCTCACTCTTTTTTTAAAAAAAAACCAGTGAGTCATTATAAGCAAATTGTTTTCTCTTGGCCTTATCTTGAAACAGGGCAGCACAATCTACTTGCAGAATTGATGCATTATGAATTTCTTGTGGAAAATCACAAATGTTCTAGCTTTCTGTTCCCAGGTGGTTTGGTGGCTTCTTTCAAAGTATGTACAGGATGCGGTTTGGAGAAAAACAAAGTTTCTCAAGCTTTAAGATGTGTGGATTTTACCTCCCAGAAGTCCTTAGAAAACATACTGGCTGGGGAATTCTGGTAGTTTGAAAGCCGCACATCTAAAAGTTGCCAAGGTTGAGAAATCCTGGCCTAAGGGGACACTGATAGCTGAACATTAATGCTATTCTAAAGAAATAAAAAGGATTAGGTTGAACCTCATACCGTTAAGACACCTGCACAGGCTTAAAATATTATTCAAACTAGGTGCTTACAAAAGTACAACACTTCTTAAAAGCAGCCACATCTGTATCTTCAGACTCATACAGAATCTTGAAAAAAATGTACACAAATGCTTTGAAGAGGTGCTGGATTTGTACTGCCACCGGTTCCAAAATTCCTCTTCTGAATTGCTACGAAAATGCATAATTAATATTTCTTACACAGAAAGATCTTTTAAAAGGCTTGTCTGTTTGGCAGAGGGAACTACAACCCTATCCACATAAATATGCACACAATCTTGGATTCTGTTTGTAATTTTATCATGAATATAGGAATGAGTGAATCAAAGGTGGTACTCAGCCGGTTCGCACTGGTTCGTGCGAACTGTTGGTGAAATTTGGCCAAGGTTGCCGAACTGGAAGCAATGGACATGCCCCCGAACCAGTCCCCCTTGCAAGTCCAATAGGATATGCATGCGCGAAGAACATGGCAGTGATGGCAGCAGCTTTTTCCATGACCTCTAGTACTTTTCAGTGACCTGCGGGAGGCTTCTTTGCCAGCTGCTTTCCAGCAGTGGCAGCTGGCTGGGGGCTGCTGAAAACTCCAGTCAGCTTGCCTTCCAGACTCTGGACCAGCCACCGCGGAAGGTAAGCAGCCCAAACAAAGAGGTGGGGGGGAGGAAGAGGGGCTACGACCAGGGCTGCTAAAGGAGGGGAAATGGGGATGACTGATGAAGGGAGGACAGGGGTAGATAGGTAAAAATTCCAAAAAGTTTCCTACCTTTTTCTGTGGGTGTGGCTAGGTGGGGGGGGAATCATGTGACTGCGTGGGCGTGAGTGATGTGAAGTTGACCACACCCACTTGGTCACATGCCCCCACCTAGCCACACCCACCAAATTGGTAGCAAAAAAATTTGAAACCCACCACTGGAGTGAATGAATAAGCAGAAGTGAGGTCTTCTATAGATAAACATTTTGGTTTACACCCATCTCCCTTTATAAGATGACTCTGGGTGACTTATAATAAAGGAATCCTTTGAATTTATTACTGTAGCTTGTTTGCCTCTTGCCGTTCTCTCAAGCTTTGGGTTTAAAATGAAATAATCATAGTAAGCTTGTCCTTTGCTGTTTGAAAGAGGTTGGGGAGGAGGGAATCAGGTATTTCCCATTCTTTTGAGTCATTTCAGAATTTCTCTCCAAACAAGTCTCTGTATCTTGATGACAGTGATAAATAACCGGAGGCTATCCATTTTAGTCAAATGTTTCACAGAGCGTTTTGCAGTAAGAAAGGAATAGAGGGCTCTTTTCAAAAGACATGATCTTTTATATTTCTTATAATGTGATAGGAGAGAAATATCACCCAGTTGGCTGAAGAGACCTGCAGAATTGTGGAGGAGTGAAGAGGAAAAGGGAAAAAAGAAACCAGACAATTTAAAGTTGTAAATGTGACTGGCCCAAATCCAGTCCCCAATCCTGAATTTGTAGGCAGACAAGAACTTGGAAGACTGAATGCTCGAACCAAAATCATGATTTCTATATTCAATAAGATGGTTGGTTCTGAATGTGGTTTCCAGTTATCTTTAACACCATCTGGGCCCTTTTATGCACTGGGTGTTCAAAGCCCTTCTGGATACAGTTGGTGCTAATTAACACTTGGCTGGTTTTCATTTACACTCAAGGAACCTGGCTTTGCCCCTTTCTATTTGATGACCCTGTCTGTTGCACTGTCATAGGGCTGTTGATGGTTTGACTAGGGATGCTTTTGAAATTCACACAACCACTTCTGTATTGTCATAGTTTCCAGGACTCCTATTTGTCTGCTTTCTATTCCCTAGTTTCTTTCCCAACTTTCAAATTTTGCATGTCAAAAGATGAATGGTAGTATTTTTGCAAAATAATGAGCAAAACATCTTATAACTGAGCTAGGAATAATATTAAAGAATTTCATCTTTTTAGTTTATTTATTTATTTAGTTTGTCAAACGTATACAAGATAACAGGAATAAGTATAAACATGGATATGAATACAGGAAATGGGCATGAATAAATGGGGATACTAGGACACGGACAGAAGGCACGATGGTGCACTTATGCATGCCCCCTTTACGGACCTCTTAGGAATGGGGTGAGGTCAACAGTAGACAGGTTAAGACAGGTTAAAAGTTATGGGGGTTTGAGGATGTAACAACAGAGTCAGGTAATGCATTCCAGGCATTGACCACTCTGTTGCTGAAGTTGTATTTTCTTCCATCGAGTTTGGGGTGGTTTACCTTGAGTTTGTATCTATTGTGTGCTCATGTATTAAAGCGGTTGAAACTGAAGTAGTTTTTAAGTATTCATTCACTTTCTGTGCTTCTAGGTTTGCTAATGCCAGAAGTCAAGTAATAATTTTCTATTGTCTTGCAATTTCAGTGCTAGATTTACAACACTTTACTCAATTGTGTAAATTATTGTGATGAATAGGAATATGTAGATCCCTCTGGCATACTCATCTTAGTCTTAATTTCACTTATCTGACAATAGAGTAATTACTTTAACAGATGATTAATCTATTCTTCCCCAAGCTATCTATTGAGGGAATCTGTTGAGACAGCAACTTTGGTAACTTGCAAATTCCCTGTTAACAATTCCAACACATCTGGTGAACTTCAAGTTAGAGAATCTGGTATTAATCTATAATGGTATATATGAGAATGACCTTGGGAGACAGGAGGAAGAGCTGCAGACTAAAGTATATGGAAGCAAAGAGGGCATGGGAAGCATTTAGGAAAGTACCTCCTACTTTTCAGGAGAGTAAAAGAAAAGGAGGGGATTACAGATTGGCAAAATTCTGCTGATGTAATCTTACAATAAGCATAGAACCAGTGATGGGATTCAGCCAGTTCAGGTTGATTTAGGCGAACCGGTTGTTAAATTGCTGGCTAGCCCTGCCCCGCCCCATCCTTTCAAAGAGTCTCCACGTGCCCCATTTTGGCTCCCAGGTAAGTGCAGGGGGGCCTACTAGGTCCAAAACGGGGCGTGGAGGTATGTGGTGTGTCCCGCCACCCCCCCCCCCCCTCTGCCCTTTTTTGCTCCCAGCAGGCTGCAAGGAGGCCTACTAGGCCCAAAATGGGGTGCAGGGGGGTATGGTGCCCTCCCATGGCCCATTTTTGCTCCCAGGAGTCTGCAGGGAGGCCTACTAGGCCCAAAATGGGGTATGGGGGGTGGCGTAGCCCCCTGCATGGCCTGTTTTTGCTTCCAGAAGGCTGGAGGGAGGCCTATTAGGCCCAAAACGGGGCGTGGGAGGGTGGTGGGTGGTGGCCCCTGTGGCCCATTTTTGCTCCCAGGGTTTGCAGGAGGCCAAGTGCTGCCTGTCATCCCCTGGCCATGCCCACCATGGCCATGCCCACCCAGCCGGTCATTAGGGTAGAGAACCGGTTGTTAAATTATTTGAATCTCACCACTGGATAGAGACAATATTCATTGTTGTGCTTCTTGTCTGGATTACCTCAAAGGGCTATCATAATCCATTAAAGACCAATATTTCTCTGCAGATTCTTTAGTTTAAGCTAAATGAGAGCGGTGGACTAAAATCAGGAAGGCTTCAGTTCAAGTTTACCCGAGTGACTCTGGGGCACTCTTTTAATCTAGACTACTTCATAGTCTAGCCTTCTAGGGGATACCACATTGAGTTCCTAAAGGAAATCTGGGACATAAATCTAACAAATATATCAACATATGCTGTTGCTTGCAGTGTTTCTATTTGTGAGTCAGTAAACGTTTTGCAAGACTCAGCCAATGAAATGCCCAATTTAATCCAGTCTGTGAATTTAAACATTTGGTTTATTTGGCTTCTATTCAGCTGATGCACAGTAATGCCATTTCCTTCTCATTAAATTATTTATACATGCTAT